TTCTTTTTTTATTTACGGCTTTGTTAAATGCACTTTCATAAATATTTAACGCAATACCTTCGCGAACCAATTACCCCTGCGGTCTTGTCACTTTCAATGGACGATTTTCACTTAGAGTCGTTAATGAAAAAAGTAAATTCTTACCCTTAGATAAGAATCCGCTAACGACACCCGCTCGCTTAATCTCTTCCACCTGGCGACGCATCAGTTTAACAGACTTTCAACTCGATTTCTTAACAAATCCAATATATTATCGCGACAGCGCGGCTATTCTGATTATATCAAAGCGAAAACGAGCTACTCGCTACGCTAGTTGAATCGAAAACTTTGAGGGAGTACACGTACAATTGCAAGTTGCACTGACATCAGTTTGTTTTAGGCGATTTCAGAAAGATCCAGGTCACACAGCGGCAACGCGCACAGGTTTGAAGGTCCATCTGGCTTCAGCGGATGAAATATTGACGAAGTTGGAAAGTGAGGCAGCTCATCCGACCTAGATTCATATCTAATACAACATCTCGATAAACTAATGAGTTCATCCATCTGCCAAGTTTCCGCGGAGCATCGGCTCCTTGGAAGCTTCGCCTACCGCTACAATTAAAACAATGATGAGATCCGAGGATATATACACGAGGGAAAAGGACGTCATATACACGAGCAAAGCGGCTATAAAAATCGACAATGTCTCCGAACGCTTTCTCCGCGTTCGCCCCTGGGTGGCGTGATGTCGTTGTTTGCCTGTTGCCATCCCCGAGGAAATCTCGGTTAGCCTATTCGTCTCGCAAGTGGAAGCGCCGATACACAGCGACCAAAGTTATGGATAACGAGGAAAAATGACGCATAGATAAGGATACGCTCTGATTATTCTTTGTTGCTCTCGCTATTTTTATCTCTCTGTTTCTCTTGCTTTGCGGGGGAGAGTGAGTTTTACGACGAGCCGCGTAATGCAAACGAGATATGGCACTTTCTTTGTTTTTCTTTTATTTTTTGCATCGTACGGAGGATCCAAACTTTTTATTAGTGCAGCTGCTGTTTTTTTCTTATTGATAGCGGCCAAATTTAATGCTCGCGGTTGTAGTGTGTGCTTAGGGAAAAATGTGCTTTTTCCTTGTTTTCGCGGGGAATATTCGATAAATTCAAGCTTTCTTCCGAGAAACATAATTTGAGAAACGAAACGGCTACAGTTCTGTGATGAGCGAACGCGGTCCAAAACTAAAGCGTGACCACGTCGTCAGGCAAGTTTAATCAAGGCCTGATTTGAAAATGTTACGAATAAACCTGCCTCTTTAAAACAGGTTTTTTTTCGCAACGAAGAAGAAACAGGTGAACGCAGTGCCATGGCGCTCGTGCAATCGCCGAGACAAAACGTCGAAAGAGAAAATCTGAAGGAAGCTACGTTCAATGCCAACCAAAGCAAATAACATTTAGCAGGGATAAAACGCCGAACGGAGATGCAGAAGAAAGAAAGCACTCGACTAACGCTGCTCCGTATAATCGCGAAATGCCGACAAGTTCGATACATCGCAATGCGAATCGGATATAGCGCTTTCAATTAATTAGCGCGGCCATCGCTATAGTAAGAGGAAAGGACCTACGAACGCCAAGCCTTTACAATCGACGAGCAGCTCGATAGTGCAGCGAACGAAGCGAAAGAGAGATAAAACAGCGTAGGAGGATCGCTGAGCATCGCGCCCCGTCGGGAATTCGTCGCTTTAAACATTTTCGCGTGCTCTTGCTCTTAGCGCCCGATCGATCGACCTGAACCTTTCGGTGTGCAGCTCGCTTGCTCTCTTCCCTTTTCTCGCCGCGCATGTGTGTATTTACGCCGAGTACACGCACGATTAATCCGAACTCGGCAAAAGTCAACAATCCAATCTTTCTCCGAGCGTCAATATTTAATCAACGATCGGCTTTCCTACCGATGCCAGGGAGATAGACGAGAAGAAAGATTTTATCCGGAGCTGACGACTAGTCGAGTCGCCGCACTTGAATTCGAACGCTCGCGTATACGAGCGAATGGCCTTGCCGAGGAAAAGTCACGTATATGTGGCTAGGTGTATACGTAGTCGCTTGCGTAAAAGGCTGTACGTACTGACCAACCGAACGCGCCCGATGCTCTTTTAATGAGGATATTTCAAATTCATGGTCGAGTTATTTGATCGTTCTTCTTCTACTATTCCTTTTTTATCATCAACCTTCGAAGCATTTCGTCTTTTCGCCAATATTTCATTAATATCCAATATTTAATTAATGCGATGAACCGATAAGTGAAATGGAAATTGAATGAAATTCAATCCCTCGACTGCTTGGCACATTCGCATGTGAAATCCAGTCTCTCTACTATTATAATGAGTGTAACAACTACCATTTGAATCGCAGAGCCGAAATCACTGCGTGTTCATTATTAACTAATGGTATTATACAACATCATCAAGTAATTTGCATAGCCATACGTTGTTGCCATTAAATCGCCTATTTGAGATATTTCCACGTACATATAGACAGAGAGTACTCAAGCGTGAAGATGTGTAATGTTAATGAGTGTACGCAGGCGCACCTGTTATGCAAACAAAACTGTTATTGTCATTTTCAAAATTGAATTTTCGTGGCGCCAGTTCTCGTTATAAATAGAGCAATTGATGGTCGCCTAGCAGCCTCACTTGGATACGTTTAATTAATTTTCATAATTTGTACGAATGAAATTACAATTTTCAAGTACATTCACGCTTGGTTATCCTTTCGATTATCCTTCGAGCTGAAGCTTTATTTCAGGGACTTTTCATGTTTCCTTCAAACGAGTAAGCCTTTACAGGCATACGAATGAACAATTAAAAAAATTTATTCATCTGTTCGCGCATCGATGAACAAAACTTTTAATGAACAATTGAACGTCCGGTACATTTGGCGAGAATAATTGGCAGCGTTTTGCGATTTGGTGTTGAGAGCTGTGCAAAATGGAGCCCGTTTTGCGAGCGTAAGCACCGTGACTGCGGCAAAAAGTTACGATTATTCTTGTTTTCCAAGCTGAATAGAGCATATATACACTTTACCAACGGATTAACTTCGCATCGTTTGCGAACAAAGTTTCGCGCCAGAGTCCTTTGTTGCCAAGTGAACTGCCGTTAAACAAAAGTAGCAATTATTTTCCTTGTATTTATCTTATGTGCGTGCGCATCTTTTAATACATGAGTGAACTTTCATGAAAGCAATACGCGTTGATAATGTAATCATTAATTATTGGTTGATAATTAATAAAGTTTATTGATGATAAAGCTGTTTTTTTAATAATTTGCTCGATGCCCACGACAACCGAATATATTTGAGAATTTCCACGATAGCGAACATTGACAAAGATAAAAATGTTAGCAGGTAATGCAAATGTTATCAATACTTTCATTGATGATTTACGTCAGTATTTCAAATTTTTCCACTTTCCACTATATTGTCGCATTGATTTGTATAATTGATTATCTTACCAATGTTTTCTTTTAAAAAGCGTGCGCATTAAAACATATGTACTTATTTTTAAAATAATTATTTAAGAATGATTAACGGCATTCACACGCGGGAAGTATTATCGTCATAAGCTTTCCAACTCTCTATTGACCTGTGCGTAATTTAAGGAAAAAATGCAAGTATAAAAGAGGTTTGATAAACCTCAGTATTGATGGAAAAAATTTCATTTCGTGTTTGTACGTTCTCAGTTATCTGTTCGCGGACTTTCTTTCCATTCTAACTGATTTCTCCATCTTCAATTCGGAAACATGGTTTTTATAAACAACGAAAACCATGCAAAAGCCGCAGTAGTTAAAAAATTAGTACGTATGAAATGATATATCAATCGGTATTTTCAATTGTCAGAATATTCAATTAATGAAGCCATTGTCGAATCCCTTAGCATGGAAACAGTTTCAAAATAGAAGATAATATTCTAAAGGGCTGCGAAAGGGATTTTCACGATGATCGACACATTGGACAAATGGTCTTTGAGGCTTTTAGTAAAAATCCACAGCACGTCGGAATAGTAAGCAACCATGCCTCCAAGGAGAACAATAACTTTACAATGTGTTTAATATACTTTCTTTTTATTATTTATGAATAAGATCGATGCTACAACGGGCAAGAAAACTACATTTGCTAATATGAAGGAGAAAAGTACACGGTTAGCGGTCTGGTTTGAGAAAGAGGGAATACTTCCTGGTGACATTATTTCATTATTTTCTCCGATTCATCGAGATGTATACAGTGTCATTGTTGCCACATACTTTGTTGGTGGTACTTATAATCCAATGGATTGTGATGCTAATACAAGTACATTGTTTTTTTTTGTTATTTTAATTCTTTACTTGAAATATTTGATTTACATACTATTTTATTTCAGTATCAGTCAGATCATATATAAAAACTGCGCAACCAAAAGTTATTTTCGCTCACGAAAGTAAAGTGGATGTCATAAAAGAAGTTGCTACATTAGAAAATCTCGAATGTAACATAATTGTATTGGGTGAGAAAAAGGGATTCGAATCGTTTGATCAAATAATAAACAAACAATCCAATGAAGAAGTTGAGAGATTCAAAGTAGTTGACGTACTCAATCAACATACCATTTGTTCGTTAGCTTTTTCATCTGGTACTACTGGTACACCAAAAGGTATTCCTCATTCTTATGAACAGATCAAGGTACAAGCTATCACTCCAATTCTCGATGAAGATGTGGAAAACGATGTTCATCTGTGTTATTTCTACCCTTGCTGGGGAATCCATTTGCGTTATACTTTGAGTTTTATTCTTAAGAAAACAACACAAATATTTCATCAAGTCTTCGATCCCAACGAAACTTGCGAAATAATTGAACGATTCAAGGTAAAATTGATATTACTTACTAGTTCATTTGTGAAATTCAAGCATATATATTTACGTCTGTACATTTTTAGATTCCTACATTTAGTTTGGATACATACAAGTTTATGCTTTTGTGCACTGATGAAATAGAGGGTAAATACAATCTTGAATCCGTAAAAATGATGATTCCCATTGGAACAAAGTTGACTGTAAAATCGATGCAAACAATACAAAAAAGATTCCCTAATGCTTTAATTAGTAAGCGAATGGGTAAGTGAGAAAAAAATCATATCAAATATTTGACAAATGAATGCAATTTTTAATATATCTATGAAGGTTTGACTGAAACTAGTGAGCTGACTAGATATACCAAAGACTGTTGCAATCTTCTATCTGAAGGAATGGTAGCACCGAACACACAACTCTCAATTATAGATGTGAAAACTAATGAAAAATTGGGTTTTAATAAAGTCGGAGAATTATGCGTAAAAACGTCAGCAGTAAATTATGGTTATTTCAAAAATCCTGTAGAAACAATGAAAGTTTTTGATGATGAAGGTTCGAAAGCGTTGATTACCAATAATGTTTGAAAAGTATCTATAAAATAAAATTGAATAATTATGTACGTGCAGGTTGGTTTCATTCTGGCGACGAAGCGTATTACGACGAAAATGGAGAAATCGTAATTGTTGGACGAATGAAAGATATTATAAGATATCGCGATATAGATATCCACCCTGTGCATGTTGAAGATCTCCTACTAGCTCTTCCTGACGTTGCTGAAGCTGCGGTCATTGGCGTTCCTCATGAAATTTTTATAGAACGACCTGTAGCCTTCGTTAAAATAACTCCAGGATCCACGGTAAGAAATAGCCTGTTGTTAAAAATAGATTTCCTGAAAAAAAACTATTACTGCATTTGATAAAAGTGACTAGAAATGTACTTTACTTTAGGTTACTAAAGAAGCAATTTCGAAAGTAGCTGTCGAGTTGGAGTACAGCGATATATTAGAGGATTCTATTGAGTTCATTGATCAGATGCCTCGGAATACCAATGGAAAGATTGATAAAAAAGTTTTGAAAGTTCTCGCGAAAAAGTATTATGAATCATCTTTATAATTAATATTTAGAAATTTGTTATGTTATGCTCCTTACTGAACGTGTCTAATGAGTTTCATATCAAGATTTACCGATTTACCATTAAGATCGTGTTTTATTTTCAAGATAGAATATAGAATTTGTTTTTAAAATCGACAGGTTTGCGATAGAGTATCTTGTAATAATATCTTAAGTTCATTAATGATTTCAAACAATTCTCAATAAAATTCACGAACAAAATAACAAATAAATGATTGACCTCGCATAGAAAACAAAGTAGCAGATGTAAGCCATCCAAAGTTTCTTTTGTCGTAGAAAGCGACCAACTATAGGACAAATGAAATACTCGACAAGGCATTATACTATCGTGGGGATATATATACAGCGAGTAGCGCGACTGAAAATTTTGACACGAAACTTTCCAGTTGACTTCAGTGATAAATTAAGCAACAAAATTCTGAAACCACGCGTGGAAATAATGCAAAGCGCATTACGCCCGCACACAAAAAAAGTAGGCAAAGAAAGTTGGCAAACTGCTTACGTCTGGGGATACTGAATAATGCAACCTGCACGCGTATATAAGTTAAATATGCATGTACACATGCAAAGATCTCAGAATATTTTTTTAGGTCGCAAAAGTATCCTTCGACTTTCGGCGATCGATGATTACGCCGCGTGCGCGAGAGGGCAATAGGGAGAGGGAGTGAGCGCGCGCGCGAGAGAGAGAAAGAGATTCTCGATTCGATCTCTCGAGAACGTTCCAATTTTCTTACGTTGTTCGCTACAAATGTCCCCCTTTAACGAACTTCATTTTTGTACTATGCAAGGAGAACCACAATTTCTCGCGCAGGCCAATTTGCGGATGTACAGTTCTTCAGAAATAATTATCGCATCGTTCGAGTTGAACTTTGATAAATTAGACTCGAAAAATTATTATTTTTATAACAGTCTCGTTGATTCGCAAAAGTGCAGCTTTCCGAAAGTTGTTTTTGGCGCGGAGCAAATCGGATTAAAATTTGCCTCGCTAAAACTGCGTGCACGTCAGGTCTATCATATAACTTGTGAAGTGAAGTTTACGCGAAAATTCGAATAACGATGTCCATTTAAAAGACTATAATTGGCAGAGCTTCCTCGGTGAAAGAGCGAAGAAGCTTTGACTGAAAAATCCCAGAAAAATACCAGTGACCATTTTTCTAACAAGCACGTAAAAGGGATTTCTTTCTCGCGACCGTTTTTTTACGATGCCACCCCATAAAAGCTACTAATAACTCATCACAGCTGCGCAGCGAAACGTCATCAATTCTCGTTAGGTCAATTAGCAAGCGCATCGAAGAGAAAAGCTCACTCTAAGCCGAAGTATATCTCGCTTCAATTTCAGAGGAAACTAACTCTCTGTGTGCCGAACTATGCTATCTTGGCGATTGCCGGCTTGTTTGACACGCGCCGCGAATTTCCGGACGACAGGCAACTGGAAATTCGCGTGCAGGCGTTGTTACATAGATGCTCTATACGCCGAGGAGAGAAGCGTTTTCGTGACGTGGAGCTGCAAGCAAGTTATTGACTTTTCATATATCTTTTTTCGGTCTGCCAGGTGACATTGTCCCGACTTTTGCCGCTGATGCCGAGTGCTTTGTTCCCGGGGGAATTCCCATCGCGCGGCAGCACAATTAAACGAAAGCGCAGAATTTGGAAGCGCGCTTCCTTGCCACTAAGTCATACTCCAAGCGAGCAACGCCAACTCGAAGGCGATCGAACTTGCGGTAGCAATTATTTAACGGTCCTCATTAGACAGCATTATATTATTCTCCGTCGTTCGTCCTGCTGACTTTCGTATTGCGCTTAACAGCACTGCCGCCAATGGGATTGGATCGACCATCATGAATATGCAATTAGTCGCTCGGATGTAACCCTTGCGCTAACGCATCCACGCACACTTGTGCGAACGTCCAAGAGCCGTCGTGGCTTGAAACGGTCGCCAAAAACTAAATAATTCAGACTCGAGCAATTAACCCGATAAGCGATGTAGGTTTCTCGTGTAAATTGGAAAAGGAAAGAGAGAGAGAGAGAGAGAGTCCTATTCGATTATCGCGTGTAAACGTCGGCTGCACGCGCGAGAGCAGTGCTTGATTTAATAGACTACAGGTAGCGTTCCCGCGGTAGCACGCTGGACGGCGATGAATATACAGTGTCCCAATTGATTCGGCGGGACGGCGATCACCCTCGCGTGTCGCTGTCTTCGTCTTTTCGCATTCGTGAAAACTCTCTCGCTGGTTGCCTCGAGGCTGGAGTCCAATTCGCCGTCGTCGCCGCTGCACGCTCCGTTACAGAGACGTTGTTTCAGCGAGGTAAGGGCTTGCGCGCCCCCAGTGATAATTATCGAGGAAAATTTCCAAGGGAAGCTGAACTTTGGGCGTAAGAATCGAGTTAATTATCGTAACTGCGAGCACTAGCCTGGATATATCGTCGCTTAAACGCGGCGGATTGCCGAGAATCCCGCCGAATTGAAGTGCACATTGTTTATGAGCGTCGCGGCGAATCTCTCTAAACTTTCATTACACGCGACGCTCGCGAATAATTGACGCGAGGTCGTAGACGTTGATGGCTCTGAAAATTCAACGAAGATAATGAAGTTTTGCTGTAAAAACAATGGGAAACTTGAGCGGCACAGTGCAGTCGAGATAGCGAAGTTCTACGCTGGAAACGACATGCCAACTTGGTTCTCGCGCGCGACGTTGAATTTGAGGCCTCGATGGTGTACTTTGGTGCGTCTTCTGCTGTCAATCTGCCTCGATGAAATGGAGCCCGAGCTACCGAGCTACCGAGCTACCGAGCTACCGAGTGCGCCGTTCAACGAGTTCTATGCTATCGGCTTTGCCTTACCTCTCTTGCTTCGGATTTCTTCTGGCTTTCGAGGACGCGAAGGACAATCTTTACGTGCTTACTCACCTGAAACAGATGAATGATAAATCATTAATACATATTTTCACTTTCATTTTCAACATATGCACTGACTGGGCGCTTTCTTACGATAATCGCAAATGAACTTTGAACTTGTCCTATCGATCCCGGGGCTCGTTAGGCATTGAACAAAACAGAGACAATCTAGTAACTATTAATTTTTAATTGAAAATCAGATTCGGAAATCGGGCCATTGCCATTGAAATTTGCGACCCTACCGAAGAGAAACTCTCGTGCGCGAAAACATGGATATTCAAGGAAGGCGCGTGCGGTTCCGCTAAATGATTTCTCAAGCAAAACAACCACGAGCAAATCGGGCATAGCCAGTAAAAAATGAGGAGAATGCAAGCGCGTCGAAAATTCCCATCCAACGCTTGCGGAATTCAAATGCGTTCGCCGCGCGAACAGAACCGAGAGATCGAGGGAAAACGGCATAATCCGCGCGTGTCTACAAACTCATTGTCCGCGGCCCATATTTTCGTCCCACAACTGTTTCGCAACAATAGCGCCAGCGCTGGGGCGATTACGTCGCGCAGATGAGCTGCTCTGCTAATTTTCTTGTTCTTTCTCGTCCGTCGTAACTCGACACACTTCAGACGTTCGCGCGGACATAAAGGTGAAAGCGGCGCTACGCGAAATTGACGTTCGTTAGCAGGGCCAAGCGCGAAGAAAAGAAGAAGAGGAGGCTCGATTCTCGAGAGAATTCCGTCGGCGGCGCGTCGAGTACTCGGCCTTTTAATACTCGCAAGCTCCGTAGAGGCGAGTAATTGGAGTGCCAGGACCGGCGGACTAATTACTCGCTGGAGGCAGGGCGCGAGGCCTAAAGTTATACAAATGGCTGCGTTAGCGACGGACAAATTGAAGCCTGTCGAATGCGCCGTCAACCCGAAGCGCCAATAAACGTGCGAGCTCTCGTCCGAGCTCTCGTCAAGGAGACGAAGGCGAGGCAAACAGCAGCTCGTCTCGTTGCGATGCCGGCGAAAAGGGCTCGTTGTTCGCGCAGGCGGTTTTCCCGAGCACGACGCGTTGCGCAGGCGGCTGCAGCCAGAGCGCCGAAATGAGGCAAGAACGTGGCGCGCAGTCCGCAATAATAACGTTAGCGCATCCGCTCGCTCGCGACTCGGCTCTCCCGCGTGTAATATCAGCCCGAGCGCGAGTGCATTCGAGTCTCGTAATTCCGTGCGCTCCAGAAGTCTGCGAGTCCTTTCCGGGCCGACGGAAACTCGCGCGATTGCACTCGACGCGGCGACGCGCGCACGATGGAATGCTCGTTTCGACAGAGAGCAGCGCCGGCGATGGAATAGCAATAAAACGAGCGCGCGCGTAGCCTCGCCAGTGGTCTGTAGTCTGCTTGTTTGTAGATGGCCAACTGGATGGCCAGTCGATTAGCATGCGCGCGCGTTATGCCAACGAGAGACGTTGATCGGCGCTCGGCGGCTTTGATTGGACCTTGTCGGGCCGAGCCGTGCCTCGTCTTCGCAAGGCATAATCCGTTCGCTGCTGCTCCTCTCCCTCGGTCGACCTTGTTGCTCGCGCACACGCCACTCGACGCAGGCCGAGAAACGATCAAAAATCGCCGAACACGCGAGCCTCTTGCGACACGCCAAGCTGGATATCGATTCTGGTCGAAAAGCGTGCAAAGGTCCTCGTCACGGAAAATTCGGCGCAGTTTGGCCTCGCGGCGAGCGCGACCGACGCAATTGCATCGTGCGATTCGCGAGCGGTTTGGCAAGCGCGGGTAATCTCGGCTAATTACGGCGTTCGTGCCTCTGTACACAGACGACGATTGGTCGGATTGATTGGCTCCCTTCTATGTGCCTTAGCAGCAGTTAACGGTCGACAAATCGCCAATATCCGCAGAGGCAGTTTTCGGCCTGGCGGGCTTTAATTGGTTCTGATCAGCGATTGATTCCGTCGTTCCGTCGTTCCGTCGTTCCGTCGACGGAAATTGTCAAGAGTGGATGTTTTTTGGTCCGCTAAAGAGCGAATTGGATTCATCGCTCCAACAGTCGATTTGCGCCCGCGACGAGTGAAGCTTACCGCGATAAGCGACTTCCTCGAAGGTTCTCCCAACGCCTGCACGAGCAAATTCAAAGATGAACGCGCGACATATCGATTTCGGATAACGGTTAGCCAATAAAACAACGCAATCAAGATTCAGCCAGCTCCTTGCGTCACGTTCAAGCTCAGAGCAGTCGACGGCCGCCGACGATGCCTTGCGAAACAAGCTCGTTGCAGTTGGTCAGAGCCAATCATCCATCAGGAGCCCCGCGCGGATAACAGTTTTCCTTTCCTCGTAGTCTAGCCGTGCGTGCGCGTCAAAATGGGAAATCGATGCCTGCTTTTTTCAAACTAATGCCAGCAGCTGCAACAGCACCGCGCAACCTGTGGAGCGGACGAGTGATTTGGAAATTGTCTTGGACCTGTTGGCAAACGCGAAAGGGTAAAGGAGACGACTAATCGATCTCCGTATTGCCGCCCTTTCGTCCGAGAGCGGGCGTCGTTTATCATTGATTCACGAGAGAAGTCAAAGGGAAATCATACAATGGTCGTCCGCGCTGGGTTAAGGAAGGAACTCAAGGAACGATCACAAAAGTGTCGAGAACGGGGCAAAGATTTATTTGCCGGTGTGGCTTTTGTACGCGCAATAACATTTCCATTTATCGCGCGCCGCTCACGTGCAATTCGATTTATCGACGCTTCCATCCATATTAATGATGCTCATGATAATCCTTCGCGTATAATAATGGAGCGTGGGATGATGATTCGCGCCGAGCGAGCCAGCGAAAAATTTCATTACGAGCGACATTAGCGCGATAAGCGCAAGCTACGACGATCATTACACGCGGGCGTTGCGCCAAACGTTGCTTGCCATTTTTCTGCACGGCAATTTCACCGCGATGGTAAACGATGCGTAATTGCCTACACGGGTGTTCGCTGTGAAGTCGCGTCGCCAATTTATTTGTCAACACTGCCGAAATCCACCGCGCTGCGCTTGTTTCACATTCCAGCGGATGGATCCGTAGGCTTTTTTAATTTGTAATAATGCTGCAGCGTTCGACAAAGTGCTCCGAAT